ACTGCCATTGAGCTCTCAATTACAATTCCCTCAATTGAAATTGAAATCAAACATAATTGGCTACAAACTTTTATTAAATACTATTCAAAAATTTGCAAAGGGTAAGGCTTATTTTCGGTGTGTGTATTTTTCAATGATAATAAGAACTAATAATGAAAGAAAATAAGGGCAATGAATCACAACATAGCGACCAAATCACGTGTCGTTCAACTTCATTATCCGAACTAACAAAATGGAACTCTAAATCTCTCTGTAGCGTTCCGGTCATTTCACATTTATGACGTTCGTTATGAAATAAGAATGAGAGAAATTAAATAGTATTTACGCTACTCGATCAACAAATAAAACTTTATAACCAATGTAATAAACTCATTTAACATACCTACCTATACACGTATGATAGTTGAAAGGAGGATGTGTCGACATGTCCGACGTACAACTACTAAGAGTTACGAAATAAGAAAATTTTACAGCAGAGCAATTTCAAGACTAAAGAAATAAAATTATAGTAATTAGGTCCCTGTATGGGTTTGTAATAACATATTCGTTAAGTCTTTAATCATAACCCGCGGGTCGTCGCGTGGGATCCTTCAAAGCCCAGGTATTACAAAATCAATAAAAACCTATATTTAAAATATTCGTAGTGACTCTGCTCCTTAGGTACCTGTAGCGGCGCTGTCATCGCCGCCACAAGCGAAAACACACCGAAGCCTAAATCGCGCTATCAACATTCCGAATCATAAACAGTATATATAGAACATCTCCGAACTATCACATGGAGTGTTAGCCGCTCCCCGGGCAGAACACCTTGCCCGGCGGGAGATCTCCCCTTTTCCTTCCTCGACCACAGTGGTGACCCCGACGTGATCTGAACACGCAACCAAACAACCTTCGGAAACTTGAAGCTTCATCATCGTCATATAATACCCCACCCATTCGCTCCCGAGCAGATATCGTCTGCAGTCTTCATATCCTGCAAGCCATCTAGCTTCACAATGTTCATCGCAGCATTGGAATAATAATGCTTCCTGTTCCTTCAAGTTACTATCTATTATTTTTACGTGTATCTATATATTTTTACGTGGTAGAGCCATGCTGCAGTTATATTAGTAGTATAGTTGAATAAAACTATTATTTACGGATTTTTTTCGCGTTTAATTACTTTAATTTATTTTTATTATTATCCCGACGTTTCGGGTGCTTTACAGCGCCCATGGTCACGGGGGGGACTGAGATGTTTGACGTCCCAATGTCATAGTTAGTCCGGCTACCTTCAGTTTTTTAATATTAATTTTTGGTCCGATTTACGCAAAACGAGCTTATAGTATCATGAAGTCTTGCAGTGGTATGCTTGGGTTTGGGTTTAATTTTGTTAATTATAGGGTCCCAAGCAGATGGTAGCACCCAACCATCTTCTCTATTGAAATTTGGATGTTTTTTAATTTCAATAGCCTCGCGTATCATCCTTGGTAGGAATCGGTGTTCTTTTGCGAGAATTTGTGGTTTATCAAATCTAATGTAATGGTGGGGACGATCTTGAACATGTTCGCAGACTGCAGACTTCCCGGAGCGTCGGTGCTTCACATCAGCTATATGTTCCTTCACGCGGGTTTTTATAGATCTCTTTGTTTGACCTATGTAAGAGAGACCACATTCACAATCTAGCTTGTACACACCTGCATCTTGTAGAGGAATATTACATTTGATGGATGGTAAAAATTGACTAATCTTCTTCAGCGGCTTGTAGTATGTCTTAATGGACGCTCGCTTCAAGATGTAGCCAATCTTGTCCGTGACTCCTCTAACATATGGTAGTAGAGCAGGCACGCGCTCGACTGTGGCCGGCTTCACTCGTTCACTGTGACGTAGGCGCGGGACCCGAAGCTTGTTGTCTTGCAATACTTGCTTGACGTGCTGAAGCTCCGCGGCCAGATGTTTTCTGTCACAGATCCCTCGTGCTCTCTGAAACAAAGATTTACCCACGGTAGCTAACTGTGAAGGATGATGGTGAGATTCACCATTTAAATATCGGTTGGTATGGGTCTTTTTCCTATACACAGTGTGACCAATAGTGTTATCAGGATTTCGGATGACTAAAACATCTAGGAAAGCTAAAGAATTATTTGCCTCTAACTCCATTGTGAATTGTATTTTAGAGTTTATGGAGTTAAGGTGGTCTAAAAATGCAGTTACTTTGTCAGATGGTAAAATTGTGAAAGTGTCGTCTACGTACCGCTTGTAGAACCTTGGATTTACAGGAGCAGTAAGAAGGGCTTTCTCCTCAAAGTCTTCCATGAATATGTCGGCGACTATGGGAGACACAGGTGAGCCCATCGCCACACCATCTACTTGCTTGTAGAACTCCTCCTTCCACAATAGATAGCCAGATGTGAGGCAATGTTCAAGTAGTATTGCATATTCTTGAGGCATGTTATTTTCTTCTAGCTTCCTAGTTACAATTGAGATGCAGTCCACAATAGGTAGGCATGTAAATAGTGACTGAACATCAAAACTGACCATAGTTTCATTGTTAGCGAGATGTAGGTCTTTTCTCTCACTCACAAACTGGTAGGAATCCTTTGTGTGTGCTCGGGTATGTCCTCTTAGTGGTGATAGTATTTTTGCTAAGTATTGTGCCAGCTTATAAGTTGGTGAATCGATCTGGCTCACTATGGGACGTAGTGGAGCGTTTGGTTTGTGTATCTTCGGTAACCCATACAACCTCGGTGGTTTGGCACATGATGGTATTAGCGAATTCACGTCGAGATTTAATTTTTCGGAGTATTTCTTTATTAAATCGCTAGTTGTTTTAAGCGTGTTAGTTGTAGGGTCTGTTTTGACCTTTTTATATGTACTTTCGTCCGATAAAAGTGGTTGTATTTTAAAATTATATTCCGACGCGTCCATTACTACCGTAGCATTTCCTTTATCCGCGCGGAGAATCGTGAGTTCTGGTCTGTTCCGTAAGTTATTTAGCGCTGTAAATTCGTCTTTGGGAAGGTTTGGTTTCGGCACTGAACTACGACGTAACAAGGACGAAATATCTTGACGTATGGCCTCCAAATCTTCCTTACCGATATTATTCTTAAACAGACAATCCTCAACACTGCAGATAATTTCTTCGTACGGGATTTTTCGCGGAGTTAATGCGAAGTTCATTCCCTTCGCTAATACTTTCATTGTCGGTTCGTCCAGTGTATGTTTTGACAAATTATAGACAGTGCGTTGTTTATAGTTTGTGTCTATGGTCAACGGTTGTTTATTGTTCTGGCGTTGACTTGGATGTTTGGCATTTGATTTGATCGTTAATTTTTGGTATTTTTCTATTTGTTTATTTTTGCATTCATTGTATTTTGATGTTTCTCGTTTGTTTAAAGTTTCGATGCAATTATTAAAATCAAATGACGTTAAAATTGTCTTTAGTTCACTGGACAAATTGTCTATGGTGTTGTTTATGAAATGTAAATCGAACCGTTTCTGCTGAATCACCGTCCGTAACAACTTTTTACTTGCCTGATTTAAGATCTTAGCGTCTTAGCCTACGTCACAGTGAACGAGTGAAGCCGGCCACAGTCGAGCGCGTGCCTGCTCTACTACCATATGTTAGAGGAGTCACGGACAAGATTGGCTACATCTTGAAGCGAGCGTCCATTAAGACATACTACAAGCCGCTGAAGAAGATTAGTCAATTTTTACCATCCATCAAATGTAATATTCCTCTACAAGATGCAGGTGTGTACAAGCTAGATTGTGAATGTGGTCTCTCTTACATAGGTCAAACAAAGAGATCTATAAAAACCCGCGTGAAGGAACATATAGCTGATGTGAAGCACCGACGCTCCGGGAAGTCTGCAGTCTGCGAACATGTTCAAGATCGTCCCCACCATTACATTAGATTTGATAAACCACAAATTCTCGCAAAAGAACACCGATTCCTACCAAGGATGATACGCGAGGCTATTGAAATTAAAAAACATCCAAATTTCAATAGAGAAGATGGTTGGGTGCTACCATCTGCTTGGGACCCTATAATTAACAAAATTAAACCCAAACCCAAGCATACCACTGCAAGACTTCATGATACTATAAGCTCGTTTTGCGTAAATCGGACCAAAAATTAATATTAAAAAACTGAAGGTAGCCGGACTAACTATGACATTGGGACGTCAAACATCTCAGTCCCCCCCGTGACCATGGGCGCTGTAAAGCACCCGAAACGTCGGGATAATAATAAAAATAAATTAAAGTAATTAAACGCGAAAAAATCCGTAAATAATAGTTTTATTCAATGTATAGTGTTCGCGTAAATTTAAGAAATCATTAGTAGTATAGTTGTAGCACGAATGGGTCGGCTCGACCGGGGAAGGACCACGCTCTCACAGAATACCAGCGTGAAATAGTAGCTTAATGCTGCTGTATTTCGTATGGTGAGTGTAGAGAACCGGAGACCCTTTTTACTGGAAACGAGGCATTCCATCTTAGTCCTCACGGGTGACAACGCATCTGCATTTTGATTCGTAATCGAGGATGGATGTGGATGTCTATGGGCCACAGCAACCACTTACCATCAGGTGGACTGTGTGCTCGTTTTTCACCCTATCCTATATTAAAAAAAAAAACGGCACGGCTCTGAGCCTTACTGCTCGCCTCTGCTTCACGGCATTCTCGCAGATTACTTGCCTTCTTCTCGACTCACCGCACTCTACAAGGCAATCCACTGGCACTTGCACATTCGTCGACAACAAGGCTGCACTATCGACCTCCGGTCTGAGGAGGGGGTGATGTAGCGGCGCTGTCGTCGCCGCCACAAGCGAAAACACACCGAAGCCTAAATCGCGCTATCAACATTCCGAATCATAAACAGTATATATAGAACATCTCCGAACTATCACACGGAGTGTCGGCCACTCCCCGGGCAGAACACCTTGCCCGGCGGGAGATCTCCCCTTTTCCTTCCACGGCCACAACCTTCCTGAATTGAATTATATTTGGCACACATCATGGCTAACTTTAGTTCGCGCGCAAGCGCTATTTGGTTCGGACATGTTTGTGTGCGCGCGGGCTCTGAAAGACCCCACGCGACGAACCGCGTAAGTAAAATTTTTATATCCTATTATTATGCAATTTTCGTAATACAACTCCTTTTTTGTGTTTTTATATTATAATTTCGTTGATAATTAATAAACTTTAATTTTATTGTATTATATTGGGTTTGTTTACATTGTTTAAGATTACTTTTATCATCTTCTTATAAAAAAAATGGACGAACAGCAGCAAAGGCGCATATTGAGCTGGCTAGAAGAAGATGTCGATGACATCCTCGGTGGTGATGATGAAGAAAATGAAACCGAAATGTTTCCTGATAAAATGAGTGAGCATGATACTGACTCGGAACAAGAATGTAACGATGATTTGCTTTAGGTATTTTAGAAGTATGATGAATCTTTGGAAAAATCAAATGAAGAGCACTTGGGTTTGGGACTGGTGAACGAATCTATGGAAGCCCTTGAATCTACATTCAGTGATGGGGATGAAGAACCATTGATAAATATTTCGTCCAGTAAATTTTACATAGTAAAAAAAGGTAGAGATACTACAGTCGAGGACAAATATTACGACTTTGCCGCGTGATTTGAGACAGACAGTTGAAGAATATTTGTACCACTACTTCCGAATATTCAACCTGAAGTAAACGTGCCGATAAGAAAGCGATGTATTTACTGTCCTCAAAGAACAGACAGGAAATTTAAATGTATTTGTCACTTTTGTAAGGGCAATATTAGCCCAACGCATACTAAAAGAGTAGGTACTGAATGTGTTCGAACTAAATATTAATTAAGTTTTTCAATATTTATTTATTTATTTATTTATTTATTACACAATTATAACATCATTACAGTTATTAAACCAATGCGATGCTATAACTAACCTAAATATAAGAAAACTACTGACTAATAAATAATGGTATCTAGTATGAAATTTATCAAATTGATGGTAAAATAAAATACTAATTAAAAACATTACAATTTTCAACGCATTTGTATGCTGCAATTATGAATTTCGTCTCACTACATGCAAATATGTCAATATCCTGTGAGATGATATTAACATAGTGTATAGCCCGTGACAATGGTGCATTTTGAAGCAACTTCGTCCTAGCAGCGGGCACGAGGAGTAATGGGGGACGACGACGAGAACACACGTAATTATTAGGCACCCGCATCTTTAACGCAGCGAGCACATCTGGGTGATATATCCATCCACGTAATACCTTCCACACATATTTAATAAGCGTGATGTCTCTTCTCACACTTAAGCGGCTGTAACCAACCATCCTCAGTACAAACAGACTCGGATACATCAGTGGAAAACAAGGATAGATTCCGTACTGCTTAAAGTATAAAAAATCGCATGAATTTATTTTGAATTTTTTCAACCATGACACTATACTTGTTTTCATGTGGATTCTTAATACTTGCGTTCGTTTCAAGTTGACTTCTCACGAGAGCATTGTATAAAATTTTAATAGTTAACAAATTCTGAAAATCCCTACACTGCCTTAATATAAATCCGAGACTCCTGAAAGCTTTTTTACAAATATTTAAAATGTGCTTACGAAAATTAAGTTCCGGGACCATCTCAACGCCTAAGTCTCTAATATATGTAACGCGCGGGATTACGAGGCCGTTCATTTCATAAGCATACTTCTGAGGGACTTTTGCACGACCATAACTTATGATACAACATTTATTAACATTGAAATTCAATTTGTTTTCCATTCCCCAATGTGCCAATCTGTCAATGTCCCTTTGCAGACTTTGGCAGTCAGAAGCATTGTTTACTTTCAAAAAAATTTTTAGATCATCGGCAAATAGCAAACACTGAGCCTCTTTAACGACCGTAGGAAGATCATTAACCATTAACATAAATAATAAAGGGCCAAGATTACTTCCTTGACTCACACAGAATAAGTACAATACGACTGCGATTCAAAACCTGCGAAATCTACGTATTGTTGACGTCCGCTCAGATAATTCGCAAAGAAATCTAGTAAACTAGGTGTAAAACCTAACTCCGCAAGCTTTACTAACAAGATATCGTTATTAACGGTATCGAAGGCTTTTCGGAAATCGAAATATGCAGTGTCCACCTGGCTCCCAGCATCCACTACTGGCACCACATAATTTATAAAGGACAATAAATTACTCCCAGTACTTCGACCTGGCCGAAAACCATGCTGAGCTTCAGTAAGCTGGGAGTTCACTTGATTATAAACATATTTATAAATAATCGACTCAAATACCTTAGCGATTGCACACAATATGTCAACGTTTATATGTTTTTGTGATTAAGTGTACCAAATTTATATTAAAAGATAGACTATTTCATTATGATCAGGATTACTTAAGTTTTTAAAATAGATTTTAATTTCTGTTTATGTTTTTATTTTAATTACCTAATGTTCTCATGGAGAGAGTTTTTAGTTCCTATTTCTAGTATGTAAGTTAAAGTAATAAATACATAAATAATTAAATATTTTCATGTTGTTTTATTGATATTGAATCAAATAAGACCAAAGTGTAAAATAATGTAGATAAATATATAAATTTAAGTATTTTTAACCAGTTTATTTTAGGGGCTTTCAAAGACCCCACGCGACGAACGACGTTACAAAAAAAGCGCAACTAACCGAGGGTAAAATGAAAATTATAACTAACTGTAAATTTTGTCATTTGCCTTCAGAAATTTGTTTTACTCCACATGCATACTTTTACTTGCTCTAAGAATGCTGGTGTCGGTTTTCTTTATCAAACTTTACATTACTTTTTCAAAATTTCTATTTGTCTAAAATGTAAAGTAACTGGTAACCTGTGTGTTTTATTTATTATTACTGGTAAAAAGTTTTCTTTTTTAATTTTTATAATAATTTTGACAAACGTGCATACAGTCTACCTAATGGTAATCGGATACTGTGCTCGTAGATATCATCAAATATCATCGAACGATCAAAATTCAGATGCGTTGTCTGTCACCCCTGAGATTAATATTGACTGCCTTCTTTCCGGTTAAAAAAGTCTCCGATTCTTTACTTTCGTCAAACAAAACACAGTCACACATCAGAATACCATTTTAAAGTAGCATTAACCTGCTATTTTACACTGGTATTGGTGAGAGCGTGTACTCCCACGGCTATGCCAACTCATTTGTGCTACAACCATAATAAAAAAGCTCCTATTGTTAAGGAGTTTTCAGGTAGATAAATTGCACCGTGTAGTCTCAATAAGTGTTAAAATAATTAAGTATTTTATTTAAATCGTATCGAGCCTATTAACCAGTTGATATAATGCCTCAAAGTTACTTAAATCAATTAAGTTAGTGTGTTTTTGAAACAAAGTTAAAGAAGACAAAAACTTTGGAAAAGGCGCTTAAGTACAAGAAGTTTTATTTTATTAAAAACTTTTTTTACTTTTGAGTCAGTAATAACATTATTCGTTTTTGCAATTATTGAAATTCGATTAAAAATTATTTGAAGTGCGTTAAAATCAATAAATTGTATTCAATAGCGTCCATAACATTAGAAGTGTTATGGACGCTGTTTGAATTATTATTATTTTAAATAAATAAAACTATTACTGGAATTATTTCTTTTAAAAAAGCAAAACAATTTATAGTTGCAAAACTGTACGTATCCCCATTATTCTCCCCTCAGGGATGCTAAAAGGCAATCAACGGGGAACAAAGAGACAATTAGTGGCAATGGAATCGAAGAGCGGGTCACATATTGCACCCTATTTCATTATCAAGACGACTAACTAAATTAACTAGACATAATTGTTTATACTTTAGCTTTACAGTTATTAGTACATCTATTAGGTAACCAAGATTTTTGTAATGTAAATTACATTACGTTTGTCTATGTCACTGTTAATATGAGAAAAAAAGGAAATTCATATTGGAAATACGTCAAAACTACTGTCTTTCATCGAGCTGAAATTGTTATTCGTGAGTATGCCTTTAAGTCATTCAGCTATAAATTCTGTCTATCTGTCTATTCGGGTGGAATGACGAAACTGATTGTCGTGAAATTTCGCAAACAGATATAGAGCAATATTTAGAATGATCTAGGCTATATTTCATCAGAAAACCTCAGAGATTTTTTATTAAAGTGGGAACAAAATTGAAAAAAAAAGGTCTTTCATGATTATTTTAAATCTAAACAAAGGAACATTAATAGTACCCACTCAAGTGAAAGTGGAGCGGTAAAGTTACAGACGAAGTGCAAGTCCCATAGGTGAGCATTAGGCTTTTTCTCATTTCTGCTTGGGCTATGACAAAAGACTAGCTAATTTACGTGTATCTTTGAGTATCTATTTATCTACGAGTATCTTTGTAACTTTTTATTACAGTGTATTTTTCACAAATTTGTAGACGGCCGAATGACTTGAAAATTTGAACTCGTATCAAAGAACGATGATAATACAATAATCGAAAAACTTTGTAGGGACACAGTAGTTACATACACTTTTCTTAATTGTCACTTTACACTTGTTGCCGGAGGCATTCGACGGCGAACGCCAGTCGTTACCGGTTACTGCACACGATAGGCCGCTAACAAGTAGGAAATATATTGGATCGCCGATAACAAATGTCTGTAAATAGTGATTTCTGAATATAACATCATTGGCTATTGAGATTTTAATTACTGAACCCGATAGGCACTTGTGCACCTTCTGTGAGTCATTTAGGGGACAATCAGGCATAAGTAACTAGTACGTTAATAACCATACAACACACGCACAACTTTATCCCAGTGTTCTAATCAAGATCACCAGGGTAAAATAATTGTCAGGAGCATCACAACTCAAGATCAATGAGTGTTGCTTAAGTTTGTTTAAACTTTAATATTATTTATCTCAGACAATTAGATTTCCGAGCAGATGAATACTTAAAATTACAATTAGCACAAAAACTAAAACTACACACTCACCGAGTAGTGGCGTTGTGAGTATATCTACTGGCCCATATTATCATGCCCATATCAGTCCGTGGGTATCGTTAGAGGCAACAAAGGGTAACAAATCAGGATTTGCGCAGCATCATCTTCCTAATTACCGCATAAAATAAAAATTGCGGTTGCCAACCCGATTTTCAACCGTGGCAACTATGGCAAAGAGGCCCTAAGAGGCAACCTATGACGGAAGCCTGTGTTTGGCATTGGATTTTAATAGAATGTAATGGTAACGATAAAACTACACACTAATTGGTCAAACTTAGGCGTGTTCAATTCAATTATAAATAAAACTAGTTGTCAACTGTCACCGGTATGTTAAAGTGCGGCTGGCCACTGACCAAAGCCGCGAACATTTTTTGTAATATATATTATCAATGTTAGCAAGAAAATATATATGATAAGAGATAAG